CTATCAATGACGTGCGATGATAAAGCGCTTCTCAAAACGCTATCGTATCGTAAGATAGCGTTTTTCGGATGCTATTAATACCCTTTTTTCCTGTAGTGAAACCCCCATATTATCTCTTGTGCGAATTGTGAGTCCTTTTCTTGGATTTTCTTAGCATAAGGTGTTATGTTTAAACCGGCAGGAGCAGTAGTTCTAGTTATCTAGTTCTCTTGGGTTCGTTTTCAGGCTAAGTTTGGGGGTGCCCATTTGAGCTCGATCGAGTGGGGTGTCAAAACCAGAAAAGTGGTAAAAGTTGGGGAAAACAAAAGGAAAATAGTTTAGTTAAGTCCATGGAGTTGGCATTGTTTAAAAAAGGGTCTAGTAAAGGTTTGGGAAGTTAAAAGGTGTCGAAAAGTCCCAAACCGCTAGATGTTACCTTAGAAGCCTCTCCCTGTGTTGTTCTTAAAAGAAAAGTGAGCAAGGCTCCTCTGTTTCAAAGGCGAAGTGCCAAAAGGGTAGTTAGGATTTGTTCTTTAAGCTCTAAGTGTTGAACTCGATTGAGTTAGGATTAGGTAGCTGATGTACTTGCATTTTGCATAGTTTTAGTATCCATTAGCATCATATCTTGTTCCTTTTCCCTTCTTGTGCATTCATAGTAGTTTTAGGTTGCATTTGCATACATATGCATGTTTGGTCCTTGAAATAGGTCTTTTGGAGCATTTGGAGCATATGGGACGTGAGGAGCAAAGGAAGGACTTGGTGCATGGACGCAGCTCAACTGGATACGCAAAGGAAGAAGGAGGAAGTCATCTTGAAGACCAGCTCGACCATCCTACTCGACCAAGCTTCAACTCGATCGAGCTGAGAAGTCAACAGTCAAACCCGAAAAATGTTGCTTCCCCCTTGACTTCCTTTGACCCTAAACCTAATCTCTTTGTATTTAAAGGCTCTAAGCCACGAAAAAGACAACAATCTTTAGCTTATTTTTGTTTTAGCTTTCTTTTAATTATTGTCTTTACTTTTTGCAACTCTTAACCTCTTTGTGTTCTTGAGCTCTTAGCTCTTGAACCTAGATCTCTGGTAGCTCTTGCTCTTGAATCTTAGATCTTGGCTATTTTATTTGCACTTGCTTATTTCAATAAAAGTTTTTAGTTTTTTCCTCTTTCATATTATGTCATTTCATTGCATTTGATTGTGTTTACATTCATGTGTAGTGAGTAGTTCCTTTAGGGTCAAAGATGGGCTAGATTAGGGATCTTATGCTTAATCCTTCTTGCTTATGTTCTTAATCTAGAAATCTCTCTCTTTTGGACAAACCTTAAGGCTACATGACCACTATCCCTGGCTTGTATGTCATAGGCGATTCTCCACATGGAAGTGATGGAAATCGTTGGAAAAGGTCCACTAAGAGCTCCAATAACTCTTGCTCTCGAAATGGAGTTCATAGGGGTTGGATGGATTAGTTTGAGCAATGATCCTATGGCCTCCAAGGCTTGATCTCACTGGCTAACCCCCTGTTTCTGAGATCAAGTCTTGGTTGATAGCTTTCACCTTGGGAAAGGGTTAGCTAGGCATTGAGAAGCTCAATATCAAGAGATACCTTGATACAAGTTGTTTGAGAGCAAGATTGATTAAGTATAGTCTTCCTCTGTTGTAAGACCCTGTCTTAGACCCTAATATTCGCATTAGCTTGTTAAAGTTCCTGCCTTTATCGCTTTTTACTTCAACTCGACCCTAACTCGATCGAGCTTGGTTACTCTGTTCCCACTCGACTCGAGTCCTTGGTCGAGCTGCTTGCTTTACTGCTTTCTTTCTTTATTTCCTTGCATTTCATTAGGTTGTTAGTTGTTACATTTCCCATCTTTATCTTTGCTTGACTTCCTTGTCATTGCATATTCTCATAGAGTAATAATTTCACCCATATGGATTGATACCCCTTATACTTCAATGACTATGATGGTTAAGGGGAATTGATTGATTGTGTTTGTGTTTTGCACCATACCATCTCATCTTCTATACCACTGTTGCATTCCACCTCATTTATTTCATACCATATCATCACATCACACACACAAATCTTATCATCAATTTGGCGCCGTTGCCATTTGGGTTGAATATTGTTGCATTTGAGTTTCTAATACACTTGGACGATCAAGCTATCCCACCCCTGTTCTTTGTATTGCTGGGTTTTTGATTCTTTTTGCAGGTGTATGCGAACTCGATCGAGTCGGACAACAGAAGACTTGGTCGAGCTAGACTTCACCACGGTAGAAAGAGAAGTCAAGGACTCAGAGGGTACAAGAGGAACCTGAGGTGCTTGTTACTGATACCATGGATGTACCAGAGGGGAATGGAAACCCTTTGGGTAATGGACCCGGTCGAGCTCGTCAACCTCGACCAATTGGTCTCGGAGATACTCCAAACCGCCATTAACAGAGACAAGGGATTGGGCCACCACCTGTGCAGAACCACAACTTTGAGATCAAGCTGGGTATGATCAACCTTGTCCAGAACAAGATGTTCCATGGTTTGTGATAGACCCCTGATTATAGATCGGCACTTTGAAGCAAGTTGAATGATGGATGATGAAGGATGGATTGATGAAGTGATGGAAAGTGACTTGGGCGAGATGATGGATTGAAAGGGGATGATCGATGGCTATAACAAGAGATCTGTGGAAGGATCTCTCAACACCAAACTTGTTGATCTCAAGGATATTACACACCAAGAGATGGACAAGGCTCTGTTGATCTCCAGGATATTACACACCAAGAGATGGACAAGGAATAGATTCTCAAAGATATGACTCACTTCAAGAAAACTATAAGATCTTAGATATTACACACTAAGAGTTTGAATAACAAACAAAAGGGTTTTTGATTAAAAGATTGATTGCCAGAAAGGGTTCGTCCAGCACAATATAAAGGAAAAGGGAAGAAGAAGGAAGAAGAGATGAGTCAATGGAACAGGCTCCATGACCATCTCGGAAATGACAAAAACAATAAAGAAGTTTCTCATGCATTGGGCGGCAAGATATTCAAACTAAAAGTGGGCCGGACCCAACAACATGAGAAGAAGAGATGATGGAAGTGGGTCTTAGGCCTCATTAAAAACCTACCAAGGAAAACCCAAAGGGACAAAACCTTGGCAGGGAAAAAGAGCACACTAAGATCCACTTGCTTCTTTATCCCAAGTGTTGGGCTCAAACAAACCAAGTGGAATGCTTAAGCTCATGATCTTGCCGACTCAAACGGCTAAGTACTCTTCCAATGTCTTGGTTGAGCAACTTAGTTTGGGACCTTGTAACTGGGCCAGTTGGTATGGTCAAGTGCTTCCTCAGGTTCAAGCTGCTCCTCCTGCTACAAGCTCTCCAGCTGCTTCCTGGTCCAAGTTCCTAGCAACCTCCTCCATGATCATATCATCCCCTCCCTCTTGAAAAGGATTTGTCCTCAAATCTGGTTCATCTGCAAGAAAAGGAGAAAGATCAGTAACATTAAAACTTGAACTTATGTTGTACTTACCTTGAAGATCAATTTGGTAGGAGTTGTTGTTGATTCTTCTGGTGATCTCAAATGGTCCATCTATCCTTGGCATAAGTTTGGATTTGCGCTCGGCCGGAAATCTTCTTTGCGCAGATGGATCCAAACCTTGTCTCCCACTTCAAAGATCATCTTCCTTTCGGCCCTTGTTGGCTTGTTGAGCATACTGCTTGGTTTTAGCCTCAATGTTCCTTCTGGCTTGCTCATGGATCTTCCTGACTGTTTCTGCCTTGTGCTTTCCATCTGTGCTTAATCTTTCACTCAAAGGCAAAGGCATCAAATCCAAAGGAGAGATGGGCTTAAACCCATAAACAATTTCAAAAGGAGAAAACTTAGAAGCAGAATGCACAGCATGGTTATATGCAAACTCAATATGTGGCAAACATTCATCCCAACTTTTAAGATTCTTTTTAATCAAGGCGCGCAACAAAGTTCCAAGAGTTCTATTAACAACTTCAGTTTGGCCATCAGTTTGAGGGTGACAAGTAGTAGAAAACAAAAGCTTAGTACCCAACTTAGACCACAAAGTTTTCCAAAAATAACTCAGGAACTTTGTATCACGATCAGAAACAATGGTGCGCGGCATGCCATGCAATCTAACAATCTCTTTAAAGAACAGAGCAGCTACATGAGATGCATCATCAGTCTTATGACATGCTACAAAATGAGCCATTTTTGAGAACCTATCAACTATCACAAAGATAGAATCTTTTCCAGTTCTAGTCCTAGGCAATCCAAGCACAAAATCCATAGATATATCAGTCCAGGGATGAGATGGAATAGGGAGAGGAGTGTACAAACCGTGAGGTTGAACCTTAGATTTGGATTGTTTACAAGTTGCACATCTAGAACAAATCCTCTCCACATCTCTGATCATGTGCGGCCAATGAAAATGATCTCTCATGACTTGAAGTGTTTTGGCCACACCAAAGTGTCCCATCAAGCCTCCTCCATGTGCTTCCCTGACAAACAAATCCCTCAAAGAACAATTAGGCACACAGAGACGGTTCTCATAGAAGAGAAACCCATCTTGTCTGTAGTATCGGCCAAAAGCAAACTTAGAACAAGACTTATAAATCTCAGCAAAATCAGAATCAGAAGCATACAAGTCTTTTATCTGTTCAAAGCCCAAGAGTTTAGCATCAAGAGTTGAGAGAAGAGTGTACCTCCTGGACAATGCGTCGGCTACAACATTGTCCTTACCTTTTTTGTACTTGATGACATATGGGAATGTCTCAATGAATTCAACCCACCTGGCATGCCTCTTGTTGAGCTTCTGTTGGCCCTTGAGATGTTTGAGAGATTCATGGTCTGTGTGGATGACAAACTCCTTTGGCCAGAGATAGTGTTGCCAAGTTTGTAAGGCGCGGACCAAGGCATAGAGTTCTTTGTCATAGGTTGGATAGTTGAGAGTGGCTCCTCCAAGCTTTTCACTAAAGAAAGCAATTGGCTTCTTGTCCTGCATCAAGACAGCTCCAATGCCTATACCTGAAGCATCACATTCAATCTCAAAAGTTTTCAAGAAGTCAGGTAAAATAAGAACAGGGGCATTAGTCAAGCGATCCTTGAGAGCTGGAAAGCATCCTCCTGTGCTTTCTCCCACTTGAATCCAACTTCTTTCTTGATGACTTCAGTTAAGGTGCGGCCAAGGTACTAAAATCACGGACAAACCGCCTATAGAACCCAGCTAGGCCATGGAAGCTTCTGACTTCACTCACTGTCTTAGGACTTGGCCATTCTCTGATTGCTGCAACTTTCTCTTCATCCACCTTGACTCCATCTGCACTCACAACAAAGCCTAGAAAAACCACATTATCTGTGCAAAAAGTACATTTCTTAAGATTGGCAAACAATTTTCTTTTCTTAGCACAGACAGGACAGATGCAAGGTGATCTAGATGCTCTTCAAGGTTCTTGCTGTAAATCAAGATGTCATCAAAGTAAACCACAACAAAATGACCAATGAAGTTTCTCAGGATATGGTTCATTAAGCGCATGAATGTACTAGGTGCATTAGTGAGACCAAATGGCATGACAAGCCATTCATAAAGACCATGTTTAGTTTTAAATGCAGTTTTCCATTCATCACCTTCTTTCATCCTAATCTGATGATAACCACTTTTTAAATCAATTTTAGAGAAAATGCTAGAACCATGCAACTCATCAAGCATATCATCAAGTCTAGGGATAGGATGTCGATACTTTACAGTGATATTGTTGATGGCTCTGCAGTCCACACACATGCGCCAACTCCCATCTTTCTTGGGCACAAGAAGAACAGGAACAGCACAAGGACTCATGCTTTCCCTGATGTGACCCTTATCCATAAGCTCATCAATTTGGCGCTGGAGTTCTTTGGTTTCCACAGGATTGGTTCTGTATGCTGGACGGTTTGGAAGTGGATCCAGGACAAAGTCTATTTGATGCTCAATGCCTCTGACTGGTGGCAATCCCTTGGGACAATCATCTGGAAACACATCCTGGAAATCCTGTAAAAGTTTGGACATCTCACTCGGAATCTCCGGTGCATTATCAATCAAGAGGTTAAATGATCCTTTAAAGATGAATAAGAGAAAAGGCTTATCAGAAGACATGGAACTTTTAACCTGTTTGGATTTGGCCAGATAGTTCAGGGACTTGTTGGATTTGGTTGGCTCCTTCTTGGCTTGAGGTTTAGTCTTTTGGCCACTCAACTGAACTTGATCTTCATACACCTCTTGAGGGGTTAAGGGAATGAGAGTGGTCTTACGCCCCTTGTGAAGGAAGGTGTACTTGTTTGTGAAAGCCATCATGCAGACACGCCTATCAGATTGCCATGGCCTTCCCAGAATGATGTGTCCAGCATCCATAGGCAGGACATCACACAAATCTCATCCTCATAGCTTCCTATAGATAGTGGCACGACCACTGCTCCTTCACACTCATATCTCCAGTCTCATTGATCCACTGTAGCTGATATGGCTTAGGATGTTTCTGAGTCACAAGACCAAGCTTCTCAACCATGGCCTCACTAGCCACATTAGTGCAACTGCCTCCATCAATGATTAAGCTGCAAACCTTCTCCTGGACAAGACAGCGAATGGAATAGGTTTTCTCTTTGCTCTTCCTTGTGTGTTTGGACTTGAGCGCTCAAGAGTCTTCTGGCTACCAGAAGCTTTCCCATGACAGGCACAGCTCATACTCCTCTGGCTCTGGCTCTTGCTCTGGCTTGCTGAGACTTCTTCCTCAGACTCCACTTCTCCATTATCTCTTATGAACATGATCTTCTTGTTGCGGCATTCATTGGCATAGTGTCCAAAGCCTTGACATCTGAAGCACTTAAGCTCGCGGGCTCTGGGGCAGAGTTGTACTGGACTTGTTCTTGTCCTTGTCTTGGTTGTAAGGAACTCCTCTGGCTCTGACTTTGGTGTGAAAGCCGGTTTGGAGTCTCTGGCATAGACAGGCCGGCGCTGATCAGTTCCATGCTAGTTGGCGTCTCCTCTTGAGTTGGGTTTCGGCCAGAACTGCTTTGTGTAGCATAGACTCCAAGCCACACAGTTTTGCATCTCCACAATATCTTGGATCTCACGGTTGAGCCCTCCAAGGAACCTGGACATAGTGGCTTCTCTGTCCTCAATCACATTAGCCCTTAGCATCATTACTTCCATCTCCTGGAAGTATTCTTCAACTGTTTTGGACCCTTGAGTGAGCCTCCTGAGCTTAGAATGTAGCTCTCTCTGATAATAGCTAGGATGAACCTCTGCCTCATGATCCTTTTCATCTCTTCCCAGGTAGAGACCTCAAGAGCTCCACCAATCTCTCTTGCGGTCACGACTTGTTCCCACCACCTTAGGGCATAGTCATTGAACTCAGAGACCGCCAGCTTTGACTCTGTTGATGTTGGATATGTTGTGTAAGTTGAAGTTGAACTCACACTTCTTCTCCCAGTCCATGTACTCATCAGGATTGTTGTTGCCATGGAAAGGGGGAATCCGGATCTTGTATCCTCCAAGATTTTCGACCATGTGGTCTGGATCATCGCGATGCCTTCTAGAGCGGCGCCGACTTCCTTGAGAGGAATGGCCACTGTTGTAGTAAGGTTGGCTTGATCATCAGCCATCCTTCTTGAGCCATAGGGTCATCTCTCTCCTCATCCGAGATATGGATGGATCTCTAGACTCCTTGCGCTTTCCTGCCTTAATTTGTTCCCTCCGGTCAAACTCATCCCTCATGAGCTTCTTCATTGTTCCAGGGGATTCACTGAGACTCTTGTTGAATCCTCTTCATCTTCCTTTCCATCCGCCATAGTACCTGAAACAACAGGAAAGAACTCGGCAGTTAAGTTCAAAGGAAAAGATCAAGAAATAATTTTAGAAATTATGTAAACAATTTCTAAAAATATGGGAAAAATAGTAGATGGATAGATCTATGTGAGAGTGATCAGGATTAATTATGAAAATAGTTTTAAAATTGTGCAAATAATTAAACCAATTTCCAGTAACAAAACTCGCCAGATCTAGAAGATGAACAGCCACAAATGATATGATGAACAAAAACGAAATTAAAACAATAAAAGGAGAAAGTACTTAGCTTCAAAGTGGCTCTGATACCACTTGATAGACCCCTGATTATAGATCGGCACTTTGAAGCAAGTTTGAATGATGGATGATGAAGATGGATTGATGGAAGTGATGGAAGTGACTTGGGCGAGATGATGGATGAAGGGGATGATCGAATGGCTATAACAAGAGATCTGCGGAAGGATCTCTCAACACCAAACTTGTTGATCTCAAGGATATTACACACCAAGAGATGGACAAGGCTCTTGTTGATCTCCAGGATATTACACACCAAGAGATGGACAAGGAATAGATCTCTCAAAGATATGACTCACTTCAAGAAAACTAAAGATCTTAGATATTACACACTAAGAGGTTTGAATGAACAAACAAAAGTTTTTGATTAAAAGATTGATTGCCTATTAGACAATATAAAGGAAAAGGGAAGAGAGAAGGAAGAAGAGATGAGTCAATGGAACAGGCTCCATGACCATCTCGGAAAATGACAAAAACAATAAAGAGAGTTTCTCATGCATTGGGCGGCCAGATATTCAAACTAAAAGGCCTGGGCCGGACCCAACAACATGAGACAAAGAGAGTGTGAAAGTGGGTCTTAGGCCTCATTAAAAACCTACCAAGGAAAACCCAAAGGGACAAAACCTTGGCAGGGAAAAAGAGCACACTAAGATCCACTTGCTTCTTTATCCCAAGTGTTGGGCTCTTAAACAAACCAAGTGGAATGCTTAAGCTCATGATCTGCCGACTCAAACGGCTAAGTACTCTTCCAATGCCTTGGTTGAGCAACTTAGTTTGGGACCTTGTAACTGGCCAGTTGGTATGGTCAGTGCTTCCTCAGGTTCAAGCTGCTCCTCTGCTTCAAGCTCTCCAGCTGCTTCCTGGTCCAAGTTCTAGCAACCTCCTCCATGATCATATCAGTTTGCCAAGTGAAGACCCCATTGATCACCTTGATGAGTTTGATAGGCTATGTGATTTGACAAAGATCAATGGTGTCTCTGAAGATGCCATCAAGCTGAGACTCTTTCCTATGTCTCTAGCTGACAAAGCTCACCAATGGGAGAAGAGCTTGCCCCATGGCACAATCACCACTTGGGATGAATGCAAGAAGGCCTTTCTTGCTAAGTTTTTCTCCACCGGTCGCACAGCCAAGCTGAGGAGTGAGATATCGAGCTTCATACAGAGGAACAATGAGACTTTTGCTGAGGCTTGGGAGAGGTTCAAAGGCTACACAAGTCAGTGCCCACATCATGGTTCAACAATGAGTCATTGCTCTCTACTCTTTATAGAGATGCTTGCAAGGTATAGAGAGATGTTAGACACAGCCAGCAATGGGAACTTCCTCAATCAGGATGTGGATGATGGCTGGCAACTTGTGGGAAACATTGCAAACTCAATGGAAGCTATGGAGAAGAGTATGATCGCACCAACGGAGCTCGACCCACCACTCGATCGAGTCGGATGAGAATTGAGAAAAGATGTCAAATCGTTGAATGAGAAGTTGGATAAGCTTATCTTAGCTCAGTCCACAATGAAGAAGTCAATTTTGTGTCTGCTGAAGAGATGGAACCAGTCCAAGAAGGGGAGGATACACAATTTGCTGAAGTGTGCTACATGAGCAATGGGCAAGGAGGTTACAACAAAGGATACTATAATTACAAGTCCAACCCAGCCATGTCATACCGAAACACTGATGTTGCTAACCCTCAGGACCAAGTCTATCCTCAACAACAGCAAGCTCGATCGAGTCAAGCCCCACAACATGGGTATGGTCCTAAAAACAACTACCAAGGCCCTCAAGGGACTTTTCCTGGTCAGCAAATGCACATACCACCTGGCTTTCCCCGCCAACCACCCCAGCCGGCACCTACGCCTGAGAATGAGACCAGCTCGACCACCTACTCGACCACCCGGTCGAGTTTCCCAACTCGACCGGCCAAGCTTCAACTCGATCGAGCTGAGAAGTCAACAGTCAAACCCGAAAAATGTTCCTTCCCCCTTGACTTTCCTTTGACCCTAAACCTAAATTCTCTTGTATTTAAAGGCTGAAAGCCACGAAAAAACTACCAATCTTTAGCTTAATTTTTTTTTAGCTTTCTTTTAATTTATGGTCTTTACTTTTTGCAAAATCCTAGCCTCTCTTTGTCTTCTTGAGCTCTTGCTCTTGAATCTTAGATCTTGGCTCTATCTTTTTGTATTTGCACTTGTTTATTTCAATAAAAGTTATTCAGTTTGTTTTCCTCTTTTATATTATGTCTTCTTCATTGCATTTGATTGTGTTTACATTCATGTGTAGTGAGTAGTTTCCTTTAGGGTCAAAGATGGGCTAGATTAGGGGATCTTTATCTTAATCCTTCTTGCTTATGTTCTTAATCTAGAAATCTCTCTCTTTTGGACAAACCTTAAGGCTACATGACCACTACCCCTGGCTTGTATGTCCATAGGATAGGTTATGATTTTTTGAAAATATTTCTATGCAAAAGATGAAAGAAAAACTAAGAACAAAGAAAACAAGGTTAAATCATCTCTTGAACCCTCCCCAAACTTAAATCACACAGTCCCTTGTGTGAGAAAAATTTAGTGAAAGATTCAAGAGGGCAAAACCAAGAAAAAACAAGAACAAATGCAAGAAAATATGAAATGGTATATACAAGGGTTGGTGTTTGGATACCTCATTGCCCCCCAAAGAACTGGGAGGCTAGGTCGCGGTCTGGTGATGGTAGACGGCCATCAGGAGCGCTCCATGCAACTGGGATTGCCTCACTCGGTCGAGCTTGCGGCTCCTCCTCTTCTTCTTCTTCATCTTCAAAGTGTGTGTGGCTCCCTTGGCCTTGGAGGAGCTGTGCTTGCTCGAAGCTGTTGTAGGGGGTCCAGTTGGTCTGGGAGAAGTCCTGGTACTGCGTTGGATCGTACTCGAATCCAGGGTTCTCAAACAGGGGCTCCTCCAGGTCAGCTCGACCCTCAGCTCGATCGAGTTGAGTTTCCTCTGTTTGGACTCGATCGAGTCCGGTGGTCGAGCTGGAGCGTCTGGCCTTGGAAGTCTTCCTCCTTCTCTGCGTGTTGTCTTCTCCTTCCCTTGGCTCGAAAGAAGAGGCCTGTGAGGTTCTTGCGTGGAGAGCCTCCTTTGAGTGGTGAGGAGTGACCTACTCCTAGGGAAAGTGGGGGCCATGGGTCCCTTCTTCTTCTACTCCTAGGGAATGTGGGGGCCTTGGACTTCTTCTTCTTGCTTGAAGAACCAGAAACCTTCTTCTCCAAACTTTTGATCTTGCTCACCATCTTGTCCATGGACTTTTGCATCTTTCAATGGCTTTCCCTTGCCATTTGTTGAACTTTTGGAGAAGTCCAATCCTCTTGTGGGCAGCCACAACAGAGGGGTTCATCCTTGGAGCCTCATACTCCTCAAAATAATAGCACTCAGGCTCACCCAAATCCGCACTCTCCTGGACTCGATCTTCAGCTTGATCTCAGCTCGATCCTCAGCTCGATCGAGCTCAGGCTCCTCTTCTCGCAAATCCGCTTCATGCCCAACTAATGTGTACACAGGGGGTCTGAAGTCAATGTTCTCACCCCTAGAACTGTGGTGAGCTCAGGGTTGGGCAGGAGAAGCTTGGAGGGCCAGCCAATGGATGTGTGAACTTGAATTGGAACCTCCCATCCAACTCCTTGTGCTCAATGAGAGGTTGGTCTTGCAAAACTTGATGTCCATCCAACCTGGTGGAGTAGACTTCTCTTGTCAGTTGGACTCCAGCTGCACAAAGATAGGTGTGATGACCCTCCAACACTAAGCTTTCCTTCCCGTTTGATGCCTAGTGTTGTAAGCCGTGACTTGTAGGGGAGCTGCTCAAGGAGAGGCATGAGTTCCCGTGTCAGATCTATCTCCTCCTGATCTTCTTCCCATCCTTGTGCGTGAGATGATGGGCTTGATTCCCATGTCAAGGAGCTTCACTTCTCCCTCATTGATTGTCCAGTGGCTTTCCTTGCAAAGAAGGTGTTGGCAAGTGCCTTGTGCACATATCTCAAGCACTGGGCTCCTGATCTGAGCAGCCTTGGACCTTGAGGAAGAGTACACTCCATCAGCGATTGTAGCCCAAACTCCTTTGGAGTTCCTTTTCCTTGATGTTCCACTTGGTTCCTTCTCCATAGTGAACCCAAACAGATCTCAAGCTGCCTAAAGGTCACCATCTTCTTCTCTCCCTTAGCCAAGAACGTGATCCCCCAGCCTTGGTCCAACTCAGCTCGATCGAGCTCATCAAATTGTGACCTCATTGAAGCCAAAAACTCACAAGTGAGCTCCTTGTAGACTCCATGCGGTGAGAGAAGAACTTCCAAGTGCATGTTCTTGAGACCAACTCCACATCCTCAAAGATTCCAAGGGCCTCATGTGTCATCATGTGGGTACTTGGTCTCCACAAAGTCCATGGAGAAGAGAGCATTGTAGTGCTCTTGGTACATGGGGAGCTCATCCTCCTCCTCTGTGCCTCCTCCATGGTCATCTTGGTTCCTCTTGATCACTTCATCAACCAATTGGTTCACCTCTTCTCCTTCCTCTTCACTCTCAGTCTCATCACTTCCTTCTTCATTGGAGAACCATTTCCCTCCTCTTGAACAAGGTTCACTCCAATCTCAAATCTCCTTGCTCACTCTCACTACTAATGGGTCATTCCTCTTCTTGGTTCTCCTTTCTTCCCTCAATCTCTCACTCTCAGACTGTCCTCAGAGTAGACATACTCCTCTGCATCAGACTTCCATCCTCTTTGATCATCCTCTCCAAATCGGCTTGCATCTTAAGCCTTCTCTCTTGCATTGCTTGATTCACCCTCAACCATTCTCCTTGTGAAGCACGGCTTCCCTCACTGTTTGTCATCTCTTGTTACACTGTTTCTTCACTAAAGTACCTGAAATGCATCAAAGATTACAAAGAATTAGAGTTGTAATGATCGGTTTGGTCAACTCGACACTCAGCTCGATCGAGTCAAAAAACTCGAGTGACAAACTCGATCGAGCTAGGTGAAAACAGAGTATAACCAAACCTAATTCAAGTATTAAGAGCTGGAAAGGATGCTAATCAATCAAATTGAACCAAGAACAACTAGTAAATGGAACAATGAGCAATTCTAGTGAAACACTAAGCATCTTAACCAATACCAAACTCAAATTCAATTTTCAAGCACATGCAACAAGTTTAATGAAAACAGAGGTGAGGTGAGGCAAATTCAACATTATAAGCAGGAAATATGAGGGCAATTACTCAAGAACAAGTCCCACAAGGGACACATGCAATCAAAAATCAAAGAGAAACAAGCAATAGAAATCGAGATGAAGGAATCAAGGGTTTTAGGGTTCATACCTTGCTTGAATGATGAATTGAAGAACAGTAAACTAGAACCCAAACAAAAGTGAAGCAACAAGAGAAATCGCAAAAACTTAAGAGAGAAAGAGGAAATTCGATTTTCTTGTGGTGAAGAGAGAGAGAGAGATTTTCAGAAATTTTAAGTGTGGGAGAGTGGAGAAGTGGATTCGATCGAGTTATGGGGAAGAGGGAGTGTTTGAGATGTGTGGTTGAGATTAAAAGATGAAATAAAGAGGGGAACAAGAAGCTAGGGTTTTCTGATCAAATTAGGGTAGTGGGGGACCAAAATCAGCTTGTGGGACCCACTCCCTTGACCAAGAAAACGGTTATGAATTTGAAATTCAAAAACTTACCTCGGTCGAGTTGTGGAACTCGATCGAGTTGCCCTGGTTTCTAGCTCGATCGAGCTGTCGGTCGAGCTGGCTCCTTTGACACCTAAACTTAACTTATTGAAAGGTTAAAAACATAAAGATAGATAGAAATTGCATAAATAGAGTATGTACAAGGATAAACATGGGACTTCCTCCCAAGTGAGCTTGTTTAAGGTCCCATAGCTTGACCTTTACCTTTTAGGCATTGGTTGAGCTAGTCCCACCATCAAGGGTGATAGTGAGGACTTGAGACAGAAGCTCCTTTAGCTTGGTTGGGTCCCTGGACTGTTCTGAAGTCACCAAGGCCTTGGCTCTAGAGAATGGCCTTGATCTCCCCTTGTACCTTATCTTGTACTCAATCTTCCCATTTTCAAACTTGGTGGGGAACAAAGTCATTGTGAGCTGAGATGGCTTGACTGAAGGGGCCTGAGCTGGTGGATCCTTTCTTTTATCCCTGGTCTTGCCTTAGAGGCTACATCCTCCCCTTCTTTTAGAGCCCTTCCTAGTGGCTCATCAAACAAAGCTTGAAGGCTCTCTTCATCAAGCACACAAGGGGCTTGAACAAGTCTCAGCTCTGGTCTATCAGAACGTGGTTTCTCAACTCTAGCCCTCTCAAGACGTGGCTTCTCAATCCTTGGTCCTCTCTCATCCTTATCCTTCCCAACTCTTGGTTCTTGTCAACCCTTTCCTTCACAACCTTTGTAGCTCCATGACTCTTAGAACTGAGAGTGGTACTGTCAATTGTGGCACAAAAGTCTGAACCTCTAGGCTGCAAGCGATATGACACCAAACTATTCACCTTGTGAAGGATCACTTCTTGCTTGTGAAAGTCTATTGAAGCGCCAACTGTACTAAGGAAAGGGGTTCCCAATAACAGAGGTAAATCCTTCTCTTCTTCCATTTCCATCACAGTGAGATCAGTTTGGATGATGCATTCTCCAATTTTCAAGTGATAGTTCTTGAACACTCCAAGAGGAGACTTAGAAGTTGCATCTCCAAACATGATTGAAGTAGTAGGGCGCTGCAAGGCTCCAGCAATGCCTAGCTTCTCTGCCATGGAGAGAGAGATCAGATTGATGCTTGCTCCAGAATCCACTAAGGCATTGTCAATCTCAAGATGCCCAAGTGTGCAAGGGAGAGTGAATTTCCCTTGATCCTTGACCTTTGGTAGGAAGGTGGGTGAAGTAAGCAGGTTGAACTGATGAGTAGACTCTTGTAGGACCTCTGAAACTTTATCACTGTTGGCTAGAACATCCTTGACCATTTGCATTTGATCAAATGCCTCACTCATGCTATCCATAGGAGGCAACTCAATTCCAATCCCACTGAGATCTCTTCTGAACTTGTGAATCACTTCCTTGTGACCTTGACTAAGTAGGCGAGACGAGGAAGCGGCAACCGGTTGATAAGGATCAAGCAAAACAGGCTGTCGGACAGAAGAGGTCGGACTCGATCGAGCTAGAGTTGGACTCGATCGAGCTGCCGATCGAGCTTGTCGTGCGAGCTCAACTGGTGAAGTGTGAATGGTCACAGTAGGTGCCTGCACTTCTGGTTGATCA